TTAAAAAACAACTGAACATACAAGTGTTGGTGATGCTGTGGATTACCTAGAATTCTTAAACATTCCTTGTAGCAATATAAAATATTGATAAACAGTTTTGAAAACAGTATGGTAGCTCCCAAAATGCTAAGCACACACATGTCATATAGTCTAGCCATTTCACTCCTAGTTACCCCAAAAAAATGAAAACAGATGTTCAGACAAATACCTGCACATGAACACACATACCAACATTATTTGTTGAAAAAAAACATTCTAGGGGCAATCTGAATGCTCATCAAGAGATGAGTCAGTAAACAAATTATGGTATAGCCACACAGTGGAATACTATTCAACAATAAGAAGGAATGAACTATTGATAACCCTATAACACAGATGAATCTCAAAATAGTAACGCTGAAGGAAAGCAGCTAGGCCAAAAGGGGTACAGAATGTATGATTAAATTAATATAAGATTCTAGAAAACGCAACTAATGTATAATAACAGCCAATCAATGGCTGCCTGGAGACAAAGGAGGGTGAGAGCCAGAGAGGGGCAACAAGTAAGGATTACACAGAATACAAAGGAGCAGGAGGAAACTCTTGAACTGATATGTTGTTTCATTATCTTGTTTGCCCTCATGTGTTCACAGTGTATGTACAAGTTAAAACTTATTGAATTATGTGCTTTAAATTCCATGTTTTTTATGTCAATTACACCTCAATAAAGCTATTTAATTAAAAAGGTAAGAGAAAGGGCTATACTTAAAAGCAACAAAGCATGGGTAATTTAACACCAATGAAATGACATTAATTTTGCTCTTGAAAAAATATTTAAGCAGCTCTTAGTGGGAATGCCTTATTTCTACCCCAGTCCATTACAACTGAGGACATGGAATCATCTAAAATTTTCCTTACTCACAACTCTGGTGGTTGACCCTGTCTGTCAGCTGAGACCATAGATGGGACTATTGGCCAGAAGGCCTACAAGTGACCTCTCTTGAACCTGGACTTCCTTAAAGCATGTGACTCTTTCCAAGGGTGAGCATTCTAAGAGAAAGTCCAAAAGAAGCTGAATTGCCTCCTGCCTACCATGCAGAAGTCATACACTTTTGTTTTTGTTTCTTTTTATTCATTGAGGAAAACACAAAGGGGTATCCAATTTCAAGCGAAAGAAAATCAACTCCATATTCTGAAGCAGAAGCAACAAGATTCCGGATGCACATAGGACTGGAAACAGTTTTGTGACAATTTTTAGAAAATTCAATGTGCCATATGGGACAAATAAATGAGTCCTTATATTATTGTAATTAGGAACTAAAATTTTTGGCATGAAGGAAAGAAGATTCAGATGTAAAAGTAATAAAGAAAAACACTACATTCTTGAGTTCTAAAATATGTTTCTGTTTTCCAAAAAACTATAAAAGTCCCATAACATAGGAGAAAACCTAGTTGGCCTTGGGTTTAGCAATGACATTTTAGACACAATACCAAAGGCAAGATCTATCAAAGAAATAACTAGTAAGCTGGACTTCATTAAAATTAAAAACTTCTCTTCAGCAAAAGATACTGTCAAAGAATGAAAAGATAGGCCACAGGTTGGGAGAAAATATTTGTAAAAAACATACAAAGACATATTTAATAAAAGACTTATTCAAAATTTAAAGAACTCTTAAAACTCAACAATAAGAAAACAACTTGATTAAAAATGGGCTAAAGACCTTAGCAGACATCTCACCAAAGAAGATATACAGATAACAAAGAAGCATATGAAAAGATCCTCCACGTCATAGGTCATCTGGGAAATGCAAATTAAAACAACAAAGATATACCAATACACAACTATTAAAATGGTCAACATCCAGAAACAGCAACTCCACATGCTAACAAGAATGTGGAACAATAGAAACTCATTCATTGCTGGTTGGAATGCAAAATAGTATAGCCCCTTTGGAAGAGCAGTTTCTTACAAAACTAAATATATTCTTACCATAGAATTTAGCAATCGAGCTCCTTAGTACTTAATGAAAGGAGTTGAAAACATGTCTACCTACACAAGTGATTATAGCAGTTTGATTTATAATTGTCAAAACTTGGAAGCAACCAAGATGTCTTCAGTAGGTGAATAAACTGTTAATATATCCAGACAATAAAGTATTATGCAACACTAAAATGAAAAGAGTTATCAAGCCATGAAAAGACATACAGGAACCTTAAATGCACATTACTAAGTAAAAAAAAAAGCCAATCTGAAAAGACTACCTACTGTAGGATTCCAACTACAGGACATATTGGAAAAGGCAAAACAATAGAGCCAATTAAGACTGGTGGTTGACAGGGTTTGAGTGGGACGACGGATACATAGGCAGAACACAGGATTTTTAGGACAATAAAACTACTCTGTAAAATACTATAATGGTGGATATTGTCATCATACATTTGTCCAAACCCACTGAATATATGCCAAAAGTGAACCCTAATGTAAACTATGGACTTTGGGTGATAATTATGTGTAAAGGTAGGTTTATAAATTGTAACAAATGGACCACTCTGGTGGATAATGTTGATAACAAGAGAGGTTGTGCATGTGTAGGGGAAGGAGGTACATGGGAAATCGCTGTATCTTCTCAATATTACTGTGAACTGCTCTAATATGAGCAATCTAGTAACAATGAGCATGTCAATCAATCAGATCTGTGTCTTTCACTACATTTCCTTATAAAAGGAACTAGGGGTTCTCAGAGAAATGGCTGTTTTAGGAATGTTTAAGATGAGCTTTCATACCAGAAAGCAAGAATGCTGTCAGTGACTAAGGATTGTGTCCAAGAGGCTCAGAAAAGAAAATGAAGAGGATACTCTGGCCATTGTTGGGACAATTTAAGCATAAAAAGAAAAATATTTGCAAGTATTAAAATACATCAAATATTTAAAAATTCATGTATTCATAATACCAAAATTTGAACCTCCTGGGAAGAAAGTAGTATATGGGCTCATTTGAAAACTAGCAAATAAGGGAAAAGAATCAAGGAGTTTTCCTTTCTTTACTGTACAAACTGTATCTCACGGTAATTAGATACTTGATGACAGAAAACTTCATTAGAGAATGAATTATTCCGCCTAGTAAGTAAAAGGAATAATTGAATTAAAATAGTACCATTTTGTAAACTAATTTAAAAATGGGTCTGGGCATTGATCATCAGAGGTTGTTAATATCTCAAAAAGAGAAACAACCAGAAATGTTTTGCCTAATGATGGGTGTGCCCAGTAATACTTATGAAACATTCTTTCCAAAGTGATCCCATTTAAATTCTACGACGCTTTTAGTTCTATCAACTTACAGGAAATAAAGAGAACAGAAGAGCTCATTAAATGATGTAACAGAAATTCAGTTATTCCTAACCCTTTGGAAAACTGCATATAAATGACCCATTCTCTTTTTTGTAAGAAAAAAAAAGGAGATGGAGACGTAGACTATAGATTTTAAAAGATGTAAGAGACACATTAACCAATCTCAATAAATATACCTTCTTTGAATTCTTATTTGAGCCAACAAACTATAAATATATGGAACAATCTGGAAAGTGTGAACATTGTCAGGATATTTTATTATACAAAAGAAGTAAGTTAAACTTTTGGTGTTTTATTGGTATTACAAGTTTTCATTAGTGTGGATATATGTACAGTTAAAATCCCCTTCTTTTAACTATACATATATTTAAGAAGGGGATTCTTTTAACTATACATATATCCACAGTAAGATATTTTTCAGATGAAGTCATATCTAGGACTTCTAACCAAATAGCCCAAAGGAAGGGGTAGTGAGAGTGGGGTTGGCTATATATGAAACAAGTCTAGCAATGCATCAGTCATTGCTGATGCTAAGCAATGGCTACACCATCCTGTAGATTATTTTATTTTTCCACTTCCTTATGTATGTTAAAGGTATTCCAAAATAAAAAATATAAAAACAACTAATGAAGTAAATAATTATACCCTCACTCCATTGCCAGATAGTCTAATTGTTCTGTTAACATACCGCTGTTGGTTCTTTTTTAAGATTGCCAAGCAATTCTAATGAGTAGCAATGAACGAGAATAATCTCATTGAGCCACATGCATAGACAGATATACTCATATCTCATCAAAGCATGGGAGGAAACCATATTGCCTGTTACCTTGGTGACTGATTGATTTCAGAAGCCACAAATCATAAGAGAAATGAGTAGAGCTTGAATGTTTATGAGTACAGTACATACACCAATATGAATACGGTAAACATTCCTGCTTAATGGGAAGACTTGCCAAGTGCAATGAACTGTTTTCTTTAGGGTTTCACTTTTGTGCTTGGCTGAGCTGGTTGAAGTAGAATGAATTACAAGGGAAATAAGGCTCAGTCATTCAATGACAAGGTGACTGAGGCATTTTCCTGGAGAAAGCATGCAACAAGCCTGTATCTGGGGCATTCTGGTTGTAAATAATCCAACTAAAGAAATCTTCATTACTTTCCATAGTATAGTAATTGGTAACACACATGTGCTATCTTAAAGTCCATCTTGATTAAATGCCTGTATGATAGTTGAAATTGAGTAACATTTGAGATTTGAAACCACATCATATCTCATACTCATGGAAAAAATAAGCACATCCTGTTTTTCTTACTGTGCAATTGTAATACATATTAATACTCCTCTCCCTACTAACTCAAACAAATAAAACCCTGAACCTCAACAAACTGCCTTTTATTAACATCTATTATTCAAAATCACTCCAGCAGGTTATAGCACAAGAACAGTTTTTCAAAAAAAAAAAAAAAGGCCTAAAATATAATACTGAAAAGACAGTCCTCAAAATATAGACTACCATTGTACACTGGAGTCCTCAGTAAACTAGCTATCAGTTTTTCTCCCCCTAAGAAATTATTTATCTAAATTGTTCTGCTTACAGTACATCTCAGGGAAATAAAATATTTAAAGTATTTATCAACTATTGCTGATACATTTCAGAGATTGGTTAAGTACTTACTTTTTCTTTAAGGAGAAAATTCAGGAAGGCAAAATTTTAATCAAAATTTCACAAGGCAGCACATAGCCAGCCAGGATCCAAATGATGAAGTCAGAACATTAACAGGGCCTGGGAACAGTTTCTTTTTAGGAGCTGGTGGTGGTCATCTCATTCCAAAAGGCAGATGGTATTCAGATCTGACATCCAGCTCAAGTAACACTCATCATTCTCAACCTCAGTGCCCCTAATTAATAAAAGTATTGATGTGTCCCTGCCCAACCTACAATATTCAAAGCTTCACTTGAAGACTTGAACAAGCTCTTAATTTTTCCCCAAGAACTTCTACAGAGCCCTTTCTTGAAAGCTATGTTTTCATATAGAAAGCGAAAATATGCTGTCAGTAATTTTGGTTATAGGGGTTCTGTACGTGAGAGTGCACGTTAAATACTGCCAAGGGCCCAGATCTTGTATATGATAGGCTAGTTGATTGCCTGTAGACATTATTTTACTCTCTTCAACACCAGCATCTGGATTTGCAAAACAGAAGTCAGATTGCCTCTCTTACAGGAACAGCTAAACATTAAGAAGAGATGTTGTGCAGTGTCCCACTTGTAACAAGTGCTCAATCAGTGTTGATTCTCCCAATTCACCCACCCCAATGAGAAGAACTGTGTGAGAACAAACAAATACAACCTTGTTATTAAATGCCTTGCTAATCTATCTAGCATTCCTCAAAAGTGTATTTTGGCAACATTATTTTCTTTGATTTTAATTAGATGTTCACAGAGCCACTGAGGAGGGAAAAAAGTAGTGCCCATGGTCAAGTTAACTGAGGAATACCTGTTTTTATGAATGCTTAGAGTTTTTTAATTGCTAATTTAAATTGTGCTTCTTTGGTGGGGTGTAGGGGCAGTGCAAAGCATGCTACCTTTCCCAACATCTATGCAATAGAAACTGATATGCTTTGGATCTGTGTCCCCACCAAATCTCATGTCAAATTGTAATTCCCCACTGTTAGAGGTGGGATCCTGGTAGGAGGTGATTGGATCATAGGGGTGCAGTTCTCAGGAATGGTTTAGCACCACTCGCTTGTTGGTACTATACAGCAATAGAGTTCTCATGAGATCTGGTTGTTTAAAAGTGTTAGTACCCCCTACCACCCCCAGTCCCGCTCCTGCTGTGTAAGATACCTGCTCCTGCTTTGCCTTCTGCCATGAGTAAAACTCCCTCAGGTCTCTCCAGAAGCAGATACTGCCATGCTTCCTGTACACCCTGTGGAACCATGAGCCAATTAAACCTCTTTTCTTTATAAACTACCAAGTCACAGGTATTTCTTTATAGCAGTTTGAGAATAAACTAATACAGAAAATTGGTATTAGGAATGGGGTATTGCTAAAAAGCTACATGAAAATATGGAAATGGCTTTGGAACTGGGCAATGTGCAGAGGCTGGAAGGCTGTGGAGGACTCAAAAGAAGACAGAAAAATGAGAGAAAGTTTGGAACCACCTACAGACTTGCTAAATGAATTTGACCAAAATCCTAATAGTGTTATTAACAATGAAGTCCAGGCTGAGGAAGTCTAGATGGAAATAAGGATCTTATTGAGAACTAGAGTAAAGTTCACTTTTGCAATGCTTTAGCAAAGAGACTGGCTGTATTGTGCCCCAATAGGAATCTGTGGAACTCAACTTGAGAATGATGATTTAGGGTATCTGGTGGAAGAAATTTCTAAGCAGCAAAGCATTCAGGATGTGACCTGGCTGTTTCTAACAACCTATATTTACATGCATGAGCAAAAAAAAAAAAAAAAGCTGAAATTGACTTTTACTTAAAGGGGAAGTAGTGCATAAAAGTTTGGAAAATTTGTAGCTTGGCAATGTGGTAGAAAAGAAAGCCCATTTCCAGGGAAGGAATTCAAGTCTGTTGCAGAAATTTGCATAAATAAGAAGGAGCCAAGACAATGGGGAAAATGCCCCAAAGGCATTTCCGATATCTTTGTGGCAACCCCTCTCATCATAGGCCCAGAGGCCTAGGAGGGAAAAATAATTTCATGGGCCAGGCCTGGGGCCTTTTGCCCCATATAGCCTGGGGAAACTGCTTCCTGTGTCCCAGCCACTCCAGATCCAGCCATGACTGAAAGAAGCACAGATATAGCTAAGACTGCTGCTTCAGAGACTGCAAACCACAAATCTAGGTGGCTTCCATGTGGTGTTAAGCCTGTGGGTGCACAGAATGCAAGAGTCGAGGATCGGGAGCCTCTGCCTAGATTTCAAAGGATATATGGAAAAGCCTATATATACTGGCAGAAGCCTGCTGCAGGGGCAGAGCCCTCATGGAGAACCTCCACCAGGCTAGTGTACAGGGGAAATGTAGGATTCAAGTCTCCATATAAAGTCCCCACCAGGGCACTGCCTAGTGGAGATATGAGAAGGCAGCCACCATCCTCCAGCCCCCAGAATGGTAGCTCCACTGGCAGTTTGCAAAATGTGTATGCTAAAGTCATGGGCTTTCAATGCCAGGCCTTGAGAGCAGCCATGGGGTTGAACCCCGTGAAGCTACAGGGACAGAGCTGCCCAAGGCAATGGGAGCCCACCCCTTGCAAGAGATTTCCCTGGATGTGGGACATGGAGTCAAAAGAGATTATTTTGAAGCTTTAATGACTGCCCTGCTGGGTTTCAGACTTGCATGGGGAATATAGCTCCTTTCTTTTGGCCAATGTCTCCCTTTTGGAATAAGAGTAATTTACTCAATGCCTGTATCTCCATTGTATCTTTTTTTGGGGGAGGGGACAGAGTCTTGCTCTGTCACCAGGCTGATCTTGGCTCATGGCATCCTCTGCCTCTCTGGTTCAAGTGATTCTCCTGCCTCAGTCTCCTGAGTAACTGAAATTACAACCCCGTGCCACCACGCCCTGTATTTTTAGTAGAGACAGGATTTCACCATATTGGCCAGGATGGTGTCAATCTCTTGACCTTGTGATTTACCTGCTTTGGCCTCCCAAAATTTATCCTGGAAGTAACTAACTTATTTTATATTTATACAGACTCATAGGTGAAAGGGACTAGCCTTGTCTCTGAGGAAACTTGGGAGTTTGAACTAATGCTAGAATATGTTAAGATTTTGAAAGACTGTTGGGAAGGCATGATTATATTTTGCAATGTGAAAAGGACATGAGATATGAAAGGGTCAGCGGCAGAATGATATGGTTTGAATATGTGCCCCCACCAAATCTCATGTTGAATTATAATCTTCAGTGTTGGAGGTGGGGCCTGGTGGGAGGTTACTGGATCATGGGGGTGGAGTTCTCATGAATGGCTTAGCACCATCCTCCCTTGGTGCTGTATAGTAATAGAGTTCTCATGAGATCTGGTTGTTTAAAAGTATTAGTACCCCTGCCACCCCGAGTCCTGCTCCTGCCATGTAAGATGCCTGATCCTGCTTTGCCTTCTACCATGAGTAAAACTCCCTGAGGCCTCCCCAGCAGTAGATGCCACCATGCTTCCTGCACAGCCTGTGGAACCATGAGCCGATCAAACCTCTCTTCTTTATAAATTAACCAGTCTCATGTATTTCTTTATAGAGGTGTAAGAATGAACTAATACAGAAAACTTCTTGTCAGAAACACCTATTAATACCCCAAGGAACTAATAATATTTTTTGGAAAACAATGTGGCAAGACCAAATGAGTCTTGGGAACTGTGGGTAATTATTGCTGTCTCAAAAGATATTAATGATTTTCTCATATTGTTTCTATGCATGGGATTACTCATAAGCACCATGGGAATGAAAGACCTTCAACAATTCACTGCAGAGCTATTGGGAAATTTTACTTTATTTAGCCTCTGGAAGACAAAAAGCAAGTTGTTCACTCTTGTGAACAATACAGTGAATAATTACAGTAGCTGCTATTGACAAATGAGCATGAGTTCTAAAGACACTGGGGTCGCTTTAGTCAGAAATATAATTACCTAGACAAAAGGGATTTGATGTTTTTATACTTTTAATAGACAGTTTAAAGCAGGTTTGGGAGAGCTCAAAGTCATGGAAATTCTAATTGTGTATGTGCTGGTTCAGATACATATAAGTAACCATACTGAAAAAGCAATTTGGTTTAACAAATATCTGCTGCGTACTTGCTACATAAAAGGTACTAGCTAGTAACCCAATAATGGTGAGAGAAGATAGACATCCCTTTGTACAAAAAATTATAATGAATCTATACTGTGAACTTATGTATGGTACAAAAACTTATGCTGGTTCTCGAGGTAATCATTTACTTTCAACTTCTGCCACCTCTGGGATTTCGACATGCTGCAACATTTTAGTTTCAACTCTGTTTAGCAATGTCATTGCAAAAGCATTTCAACTGGTGTTCAAATAGAATGGAGTATGTGTCAGTTACCAAAGCAACTCACTCATATGTGCTCTCGCAGTTCAGTTCTAGAGCAGCTGTGGTCTACTCTGGGCAAAGGGTAAATGAGGTCTCTTGGATTGAAGTAGCTTCCAATCTACATATTTAAATGAGAAACATACAAATTAACCACGCCCAGATGATCTCAAGTACATTCAGGATTCGGGAGGTTGAAGCCACCCCAGCTTGGTAGGTAACTACAGTCTTCCTGGTAGGCAGAATCATAAGGTAGTTCTCAAGATTCCCACCCCCTGGTGCACATGCTCTGTATAATCTCCTCCCCTTGAATATGGGTAGGTCTGTGAGTATGAAGGATCTTACTCCCACAATTACGTTAAATTGGCTGACAAAGCCAAAGGGATTTTGCAAATTTAAGTGAAGTGCCAAATAAATTGACACTGAGTTAATCAAAAGGGAGATTATCCTAGGTAAACCTGACCTAACCAGATGAGCCCATAAAACTGACTGGACCCTTCATGAAGAAAGAGCTTCGAAGCCAACGAGGTTCTCCTGACAGCCTTAGGAAAGCAAACAGTCATGTTTTGGAGAGAGCGAGATGGCTGATAAATTCTTTTCACAGCCATTTCTAGTAGTATCCTTCCTGTCTGTGGGTTTAATGCATTCTCATAAACACATATGATGTATCCATCAGGGTCCAGGCAAGAGACAGAAACCACATCAGTTATTTGAACAGGGAAAAATTAATATAAAGATGGCTTAACTAGATAAATAGTTAATAACTAGATAAATGAAGGAATAAAAAGAGATCTCTAAGGTATATTAAGAGTAGTACCTTCAAGAGGCAGCTATCACTCCAATAG